TCCCCCTTAGTGAAACGAACCCCCCCCCCCCCCGTGAATGAGTAAGGGGTACTTGTAACCCTACCCATTCACTAAAGAAATACATTAAATTATAAATAAGAACACCAGAGACTTTAAAAAAAAATTATTTAATTGAAAAAACAAAAAGACGAGTCCGCCGACGTAATCCAGGATGAATCACGACGTCCAGCGTTGTCCACGACGACGACGATGACTCCACGAAATAAAAAAATAAGAAAAATAAAAAACCCGCTGCCCGCCAACCCGTCTGGTTGCGACGTACTACTGCCGCAGAATGGCATTCTGACAGATGCCAGCAAAATATAAACAATTGGGCGGAGCTAGCGCTGAAAGCTAGCTGTGCCCAACTATTTACATTTGTTCGGCACCTGACAGGACTTGGGTGTGTGAGCTATGATTGGGCAAAGTCATCATTACTTTGCCCAATCATGGCTCTTACAGAGCACTGTGCTGTGATTGGGCAAAGTTTAGCCAGTCAGGGCTTCACAAGGCACTGTGCGGTGCCCTGATAGTTCGTGTGTTCGCCGAACACACGAACTGCCGATGTTCGAGTCGAACTGTTGGTCGACTCGAACATCGGGACCATCCCTACACAGGACCAAACTGGAGCCAATCACAGAGCTGGAACAGTCACTGGACCAGAGCCAATCACAGAAGGATACAGAAGGTAGAAGAGCTTACAATAAGGGAGGATTAGTAATTTGTTATCCTGTCTTCCAGGTTTACTTCTACAACCCCTATGATGACTATTACCAGACAGTTCCCATGAACGCTCACCACGCTGTCTACGTCAACCACGGCTACTGTGGCCCCGGCTATGGTAAGTGCCGGCTTCTCCGGGGACTGAATATGCCGCAGAGTCCGATTCCTCTTAGATTGGAGCTGATGTATTAAAGGTCAATGAGCTGTTCAGAGAATTGTCTCTTACCTCAGAGCAGAGTCTCTCAGCCTTTCCTCAGTCACGGCACCCATAAAAATCTCCAGACACCCCAAATGTAAAAATATAAATCCATAGCAGACCCTCATCCTTAACAGGGATAAGGTATGGATATTATGGGGGACCCCGCGCAAAAATACAAAGTAAAGCACGGTTCCCCCTTCACATCATAGGTCTCCCTTCATATCAGGAGCCTCCACTCCCTCACATCAGAAGTCCCCCTTCACATCAGAGATCCTTCCTTCACATCAGAGATCCTTCCTTCACATCAGCGGTCCTCCTGCACATCAGAGGTCCTTTTTCACATCAGAGGTTCTCCTTCACATCAGGAGCCCCCCTTTCACATCAGAGGTCCCCCTTTCACATCAGAGGTCCCCATTCACATCAGGAGCCCCCCTTTCACATCAGAGGTCCCCCTTCACATCAGAGGTCCCCCTTCACATCAAAGGTCCCTCTTCACATCAGAGGTCCCTCTTCACATCAGAGGTCCCTCTTCACATTCACATTAGAAGCCCCCCTTCACATCAGAGATCTCCCTCCACATCAGAGTCCTATCATGACATCATGTGGCCCCACTGAAGTGTTGTGTTTTGCTTCTGAACAGTTTTATAGGATCTGTTGCAGCCCAGCGGGAGCTCCGGTGGTCTGCCCCCCCCCCCTCCCCCTTCCTTTTTATTACCTATTTGTTTTAAATTGTTTCAGATTCTATATGTTTTTGATGGTTTGGAAATCACATCCAGTTGTAATTTGGTGTTCTGGCTCCCTCTAGTGGACATTTTATAAATCTTTCTTTCTTATAAAGTTATCGATTCTGGAGCTGATTGTCATATGTTATCAAACCTCTTACGTATGTCTTCTATGTATATAATGTGTTCTGGTGTACCCCCGAGGAATGGGTTTTTTTAATCCTAGGGCCCTTGAAACGCGTTGGTTGCCCTTTGTTATCCTTTCTACGCCTGTGCCATTAATAAAATACACCTTTGGATTCTTGATACGTGGGTTTGGTGCTCCTCCGGGGTAAACTTCACGCTTATCTGGAGGGTCTGTAACTATAACAACCAATGAATGTTTTTGGTGTTTCAAGAGCAGCAGTCTCCATGGTTATGGCTGCATCCATAGAGTCTGACATGACTTCATTGGCCAAAGACCCAAACTGAATGACAAGGACCGCTGAACATGAATAAGGGTTGTGGCCAAACAACACAGAACTACCACAGCCATAGTGGCAGCAGAACCAGATGTCCACTTTACAGAACCAGATGTCCACTTTACAGAACCAGATGTCCACCTTACAGAACCCCATGTCCACCTTAGAGAACCCCATGTCCACCTTACAGAACCCCATGTCCACCTTACAGAACCCCATGTCCACCTTACTGAACCCCATGTCCACCTTACAGAACCCCATGTCCACCTTACAGAACCCCATGTCCACCTTAACGAACCCCATGTCCACCTTAACGAACCCCATGTCCACCTTACAGAACCCCATGTCCACCTTACAGAACCCCATGTCCACTTTACAGAACCCCATGTCCACTTTACAGAACCCCATGTCCACTTTACAGAACCCCATGTCCACTTTACAGAACCCCATGTCCACCTTACCGAACCCCATGTCCACCTTAACGAACCCCATGTCCACCTTAACGAACCCCATGTCCACCTTAACGAACCCCATGTCCACCTTAACGAACCCCATGTCCACCTTACAGAACCCCATGTCCACCTTAACGAACCCCATGTCCACCTTACAGAACCCGATGTCCACCTTACAGAACCCGATGTCCACCTTAACGAACCCGATGTCCACCTTAACGAACCCGATGTCCACCTTACAGAACCCGATGTCCACCTTACAGAACCCGATGTCCACAAAAACAGTCCACGGAGAACTTCACAAAGGTGACATCCATGGAAGAAGTGACACCAACGCTAAAGATGAATTCTGGTTTCCAGCCTTTGGACTTCTCCTTGCTCCATGTCTGGGGTCATTACCTCCGAGGTTGCTGCCATTGAACACCAAACCTGAATTTTGGACACTTTTTGGAGATTGGTGATAAACTGGGACTGTTTCTATTACTCAGTCAGAACCTTTCTCTAATGTGGTGTAAGAGAATAATGATTCCCCAATGTGGAGTGTTCCTTCAAAACCAAATCATCTGATAGTAAGCTGGTCACAGAGTCCATGATAGAGTTTGATCTGGATACATTGTGTCATCGGTGGGGTTTGTTGGATTGGTGCACTTTGCTGACAATGTTGCCTCGGTTGGTTGGTCACGTCTTCTTCTCTCTTCCTCCCCCAGGTCCCGGCATGACGCAGGTCGTTGTCAGAGACCAGCGTGACACGTTCGGAGAACAAATGGCATTGGGCCTGCTGGCCGGTGCCATCACCTCCTCGGCCCTTAGCTCCCTCATTTGGATGCCATGCTGGTTCTGAGGAGTGTCAATCAGAAAAGGAAGACGAAAGCGATTCTGCCAAGACGAGCGCCCCCATACGTGTGATGATTAGACCACCTACCTGCTCCATGTCCTCAATCTCTTCTATTACCACCTACCTGCTCCATGTCCTCAATCTCTTCTATCACCACCTACCTGCTCCATCTCCTCAATCTCTTCTATCGCCACCTACCTGCTCCATCTCCTCAATCTCTTCTATCGCCACCTACCTGCTCCATCTCCTCAATCTCTTCTATCGCCACCTACCTGCTCCATCTCCTCAATCTCTTCTATCGCCACCTACCTGCTCCATCTCCTCAATCTCTTCTATCGCCACCTACCTGCTCCATCTCCTCAATCTCTTCTATCGCCACCTACCTGCTCCATCTCCTCAATCTCTTCTATCGCCACCTACCTGCTCCATCTCCTCAATCTCTTCTATCGCCACCTACCTGCTCCATCTCCTCAATCTCTTCTATCGCCACCTACCTGCTCCATCTCCTCAATCTCTTCTATCGCCACCTACCTGCTCCATCTCCTCAATCTCTTCTATCGCCACCTACCTGCTCCATCTCCTCAATCTCTTCTATCGCCACCTACCTGCTCCATCTCCTCAATCTCTTCTATCGCCACCTACCTGCTCCATCTCCTCAATCTCTTCTATCGCCACCTACCTGCTCCATCTCCTCAATCTCTTCTATCGCCACCTACCTGCTCCATCTCCTCAATCTCTTCTATCGCCACCTACCTGCTCCATCTCCTCAATCTCTTCTATCGCCACCTACCTGCTCCATCTCCTCAATCTCTTCTATCGCCACCTACCTGCTCCATCTCCTCAATCTCTTCTATCGCCACCTACCTGCTCCATCTCCTCAATCTCTTCTATCGCCACCTACCTGCTCCATCTCCTCAATCTCTTCTATCGCCACCTACCTGCTCCATCTCCTCAATCTCTTCTATCGCCACCTACCTGCTCCATCTCCTCAATCTCTTCTATCGCCACCTACCTGCTCCATCTCCTCAATCTCTTCTATCGCCACCTACCTGCTCCATCTCCTCAATCTCTTCTATCGCCACCTACCTGCTCCATCTCCTCAATCTCTTCTATCGCCACCTACCTGCTCCATCTCCTCAATCTCTTCTATCGCCACCTACCTGCTCCATCTCCTCAATCTCTTCTATCGCCACCTACCTGCTCCATCTCCTCAATCTCTTCTATCGCCACCTACCTGCTCCATCTCCTCAATCTCTTCTATCGCCACCTACCTGCTCCATCTCCTCAATCTCTTCTATCGCCACCTACCTGCTCCATCTCCTCAATCTCTTCTATCGCCACCTACCTGCTCCATCTCCTCAATCTCTTCTATCGCCACCTACCTGCTCCATCTCCTCAATCTCTTCTATCGCCACCTACCTGCTCCATCTCCTCAATCTCTTCTATCGCCACCTACCTGCTCCATCTCCTCAATCTCTTCTATCGCCACCTACCTGCTCCATCTCCTCAATCTCTTCTATCGCCACCTACCTGCTCCATCTCCTCAATCTCTTCTATCGCCACCTACCTGCTCCATCTCCTCAATCTCTTCTATCGCCACCTACCTGCTCCATCTCCTCAATCTCTTCTATCGCCACCTACCTGCTCCATCTCCTCAATCTCTTCTATCGCCACCTACCTGCTCCATCTCCTCAATCTCTTCTATCGCCACCTACCTGCTCCATCTCCTCAATCTCTTCTATCGCCACCTACCTGCTCCATCTCCTCAATCTCTTCTATCGCCACCTACCTGCTCCATCTCCTCAATCTCTTCTATCACCACCTACCCGCTCCATGTCCTCAATCTCCTCTTCTATCACCACCTACCCGCTCCATGTCCTCAATCTCCTATATCACCACCTACCTGCTCCATGTCCTCAATCTCCTATATCACCACCTACCCGCTCCATGTCCTCAATCGCTTCTATCACCACTGTATAGTGTAGACGTTACAATGTCATGTATTACATTTCTCAATGAGATTCTGAGATCTGCAGATCAGTCTTCCTTTGAACCCTCCAGTCCAATCACAATGTATAATCGTCATTCCGAAATGTATTGTATATTGTACAATTCTCTCTTAGCAATGTATTCATTAAATGGTGATTGGGATTTCTAGGACCCCCCCCCCCCCCC